GCTGAACGGTCATCCAACCACTGCCGTGATGCTGGTCTGCGGATAAACGAAGCGAAGACACAGCTCGCGCAAAGGTCGGGGACGCCGCTGGGTCATAAATTGCGTCACGGATAAGTTAGCCAACTGCCTAAAAATTGGCGAAGTTCATGGAATGTGCAGTTTTCAGTTCAAAGCGGTCTCCAAGGCAGTTTCTTGGGCGAGCAGCATACTATAACCGGTTTGCTAAGTATTTCAGCACGACCACTGCAACTGTTCGACCTGCTCGGGCAAACTCGGAAAGTTGAACGGACCGGAGAAGCTTTATAACGTGCCAAAGCGCGGATGTTGGACAAGCAACTGATCATCAAACTGCCCAAAGTCGGAGAGATGTTCACCGTTGAAACGGACGCTAGCGATCGCGGTCTTGTAGCAGTCTTAAAGCAGAGGAATGGAGTAATCGAATATGCCAGTCGTGTCCTGACTAACGCTGAACAGAAGTACCCGACCACCGAGAATGTTTAGCGACCGTCTGGACCCTGGATAAATGGAGGCCATACCTGCTTGGGCATAGATTTCATGTCGAAAACCGATCCCAGCACCCTCTAATTGGAGGCCATATGTGCTAGGAAATATTTCATGTTGAAACCGATCCTAAGCCCTGGAGTGGATGCGGACCCCCCAGAGATCCTCGAAAAAAGCTCGCGTGCTGGGCACTCCGACTGCAAGATTACAACATCACAATGCAGCACGTGCCAGGGAAGAAGAACAACTTGGCTGATTGGCTGTCGAAACCAGAGGTTGAAGATGAGGTCCCCAGGCTCACGATTGGAGCAAATGTCCTCGTCGCCGAACTGGATCCCGGAAGGTTGGTGCCACTTCAAAGGCACAATCTTGTTTAACAAATGGTTGCAATCGCTTTGTTAGATGGAAGGAGCAGTGAGAACGAAGATGGAGACAAGGTATTGGAAAAGCTACAGGGTCAGTTTGACCGGGTGAGTCAGAATGAAGCTTGCAAAATTTACTGGAACACCACTGATTCGGATGTTGTGCTAGCCGTGATACCTAGCGTTTTGATACGGAAACTTATCGTCGAATGCCATGGGATGGCATTTACATTGGCAGAGGGCCTACTGGCCTGGGTGAGAAGTGATGTGATGGATTAAGTGGTGCCCTGTAGGCGATGCCAAATAATGACAGGGGACGCCACAGGGGCACTCCATTCCATGGAAACTATTGCTATCCCAGAAAGCGGCGATTTGTTGTCCGTGAACGTCACGGCTCTTTTGCCGGTGACATCCAGCGGGGAATGGCACATCGTGATGATGTAAGAGCACCTGTCGTAGTGGAACGAGGCGGCAGTCTTTCCTAATCGGCAGGCGACGGCGATCAGCAGAGTGGTAATGCATCTCAACGGGGGCAACTATGATGTGCCAAAAATGATCCTAAGCGATCACGGGCCTTGTTTCGTGCGCAGGGAGTTTAGGATATGTTTGCAGAAGCTGGGTATCATACGGCTAAGAATGACACCATACCACCCTCAAACAAATGGCCTAACCGAACAATCAATTAGTGGCTGAGGGCCAAACGAGGTAACTGGGAGGTGAACGTGCCTATGGTGTTGCTAGCACATCGGGCTTCCAAAAGTCAACCACAGGCAAGACCCCGTTTGTGCTGATGTATGGTCGAAATCCGCGCCTTCCAATTGATCAGGAAATTGGCCAGTGGTCAGCAAAACGTTTGGCTCCGGAGCAGCTAGAGGAAGAAGGAAGGAGAGCCCGAGATAACTAAAATGTCGTTCAGGAATGGAGTAGGCCGAAAACGGCAAGTAGAAAGGCACGAACATTCCCCATAGGAACGAAGGTCAAGAGGAAGGATCACCAGAATGCTGGAAGGAGTGGAGTGGGATCGCGGAGTCTACGCAGTCGATGGCGGGGTCCATTTGTCTTTACCGACCGCCTGGTGAACGTCTATACGATTCAAGATGGCAATGGATCGAAAAGTTTAAAAGAGACGCAGATTCGTAAGCGGCATGATACATCGAGAAGGCCGCCGACTAGACCCGCTGCAGAAGGCGACCCGACGGATGTAAATGAAAATCGATGGCATTTGAACGACTTTTAAAGGGTGGTGTGTAACGGTGATACTACTGATGAGGGAGGCATGTGAGTAGTAGGCTGTCTTCTTGTAAACTCGCTTGAAAAGGGAGATATTTGCGGAATTTGTTTACTCGCTTTGTACAGTTTGTTTGAACTTAATCAAAACTTAATGAATATCCAGGAGCGTTCAGCGAGACGCGTTTAATGGAAGATGGGTGTTCAGGTTTCGTAACCAGGGTGCATATGAGACGTTTCTCTTACTGTTCAAGAGTCTGTAACTGGTCAGTTGGCATTTGTATGAAATTTTTTCAAGCACGTCTTTCTGTCACTCATATTAAGAAGAGTTTGGCACAGTTCCAACTGGGATACAGGTTTTGACCATGACGTTTTGATATAAATAGCCACATTATTGCCCCCGGACACCAAAGGGATTTTAAAGGTCCTCATATAGCCAGCAGATACGTGAAAAGAATTTTGTTGACTCAGGGTGCTACGCAGTACTGCCTGAAGCGCATGGACGCCGAAGGAAGTCCTAGAAAACACCGCAAGTTTATAATGCGCGCACATTGTTGGAATAACTTTGCACAAGTGCAAATGATCATTCATTAAACAACCTGATCAAAATGGACGATCATACACTGATCAGCATAAACTTTGTACCGCAGATAAACTTTGAACCGCAGACATATTAGATTTGTGGTGGATACCTGTTTTCACATTACCGACGTATATTTATAAGGCAAAGTGCGATTCACACGAGACAGTATAAAATCTCAGGCACACGAAGCTTCAAATAAGCCTGAAAATGATGCCTGGTTGTCCGCTTCTAATTGTGTTCTTGTTCTGCATCGACCACGTAGCATGTTTGGAAGCCGTCAGTATCCATAATTGGTCATCCGTATTTAACAATAATCCGTCGAACAACTGGGTTGTTCTTGCCGCTGGTTCCAACACCTGGGAAAATTATCGACATCAAGTAGGTTTCCGTTGATCTTTTGTTGGTTTGAGGCTCAAACGTCTATTTGAATCCCGTAAGAAAGGGTTTTCAAAGTGGAAGTTTGCAATACTGCTCCCCCAAAAATGTTGTGCCCCCTAGTGTTCTCCATGGCTGTGATGTTTTACATGAAAATGCGGTAGACAGAAAATATAGCTAATAGAAGCACTAGCGGGCACATCTTGTGGCTTTTATTGGTTTTCGTCAGTATTTCCTTGTCGTAAAACGATTTTCTGTTTCGGGTAGTGTCGATTCTCCGGTCCTAATAAACACAGTTTTTACCGAGTGCATAGTGTGATTCATGTTAATCGGAATCCGACTTTCGTCACCCATAATTGTTTATTGTTGCGTTATGTTAGGCGAAATGACGGCCAGTGAGTGGAAGGTGTGATGTTGTATAACCCATGAATTCGCTGGTTTTTCAGGCACCACTAATCATCTGACCTGACATTGTAGCTTTATTATATTGGAGAAACGGTCCCGGGCTCCGAAGTACCGTAGCCTAGAAAGACTTGTTGTATGAACCAGGTCTCAGAAACCTCAACAAAGACCACTGATGTAGCAACAACACCGGCTGTTACCGGAATTGCTAGGCAATGTGAGGTGATAAATCTATACCACTTGGTGAGATCAAGTAGCGTGTATTTGGAATAACCAAATAGAAATCCATCTTGGTCAAATTCATTCGTCCGCTCTCCTATCAGTCGCAAGGGGTTATATGTGAATCTTATTGTAAATAGTACACATAATTAATGCGTCTGTATCCATTCTTGAGATTCAGTGGGTAATATTTTTCACCACTGAGTACACAAGCGAAAGACAGATTCTGACGTATTTTCGATGTCAAGGGATATCAAGATTGCACAGCTCCGGTGAGCAGGTCGTTGTTCCAGCACTTGACTGATTGTGGAACTATGGTCCACACAAGTCCTTCCAGAGTAGATACAGGCATCCTGTTCTTGGGATAATGCATCCAAATACTGTTGGGATAAGTGATACTCCAAAAAGTGCGGAATATTGTACACACTGCTCGTCGTCTTTGGCCTTGTTGTCTCACTCTGCCTGGTATCCTTAATTCACGTGTCATTTGCGTTCTCATTCAGGCGGACGTTTACCACGCGTATCGCGTCGTGCGTGCAAACAAAGTTCCAGCGGAGAATATAATCACCTTCGCCTACGACGATATTGCAAACAATCCCATTTACATATCGCGTAAAATTTTCGCTATATGCTGGCAAGTTGAGTGTACAAAACGCGCTTCGCTGTCTAACTTTAACAAGTCTCATTGTTTGCCGTTTCTCATATATATAATTGTTGAATTTGAGTTGCAGAAAATTATGGGTTTTCGTGTGTCACTTCACATGTCGTAACAGATTTTTTGGTTGATGCCCTTTCATGACTGTAGACGTCATAGAACCCTGATACAAGCAGCACCTTTTGATGATGACGATGGTGACGATGATAGTCGTATGCGTACTCGGTTCCATACCCTGAAATGAAACATTGATATCTATGTGTCGTTTCAGTGCATCACCTGGCTGATGAAGCTTCTAAAAGCAATAGAAGTTAGTTCTTGCGCGGAGTCTGTAATAATCGCAAGCCGTTTATTGCCAAATCGTTCATTCGGCTCTAGCTACTTTAAGGTGCCCAGCTGCCATGTCACACGAAGTTTGTACGAGATCTAGGATACTGCCAGGATTCCCAAGCGGTCGGGAGGCAGAGGCAGGTTGAATCTACGGAACTTCCGGTCGGTAATTCTCATATTAGCCAATTGAGTTATCTCGTTTCCTGCACAACTGAACTATATACAAGGACACTGAATATGGATATGTTCAGATTATCTACTACTGGTGGTTTTTGAATGTAAATTTACTTAAAGTAATTACACTTTTGCACCAAATTAGTAATTTTCTTTGTTTTGCACTCTACAGAGATCATTGTACGACACTTAAATTATTTCTTCGTAAAAAATCATTACCCAGCACTCAATCGAATGCGTGACAGAATTGCACTCATCGTCGTGATAAACTATTCCAAAACAAGCCCGCGAACTCGATTCAAACGGAATTTATGTGCGTTTCATTTCTTTCCATTCGACATAGATGTTAATGTCGCCCAGAAGACTCACTGCCACATATCATTCTTCTATTCCAGAAATCCGTTTAAAGGCAAAGTGTTCCATGAATACCAGCACGAAGATGTGTACAATGGTGTGGTAATTGACTACCGTGGAAAAGTAAGTCCGTGTTCCGAGGCGTAGCAATCAAGTTAATTCATGCATCAGTTCACCGTGTCACACAAGGTGCAAGTAGAATGACACCACGGACCAAAACACAATACAAACAGCAGGGTAGATTATTCAGGTTTGCTATATTACAGAATGGTCAATCTCCTTGGGCGAACACTTGTCATAAAGTCATAGATAACTATCTGGAAGCCCACGACCGAATTCAACCTTCTCCCTTTGGCCTATTAAGTAGGTTAGTGTTCTTGTCAAAAGAACCACGAAATATTCACGAAGATCAACAGTGCCCGAATAATTGCTTCGGAGAAATATCCTGTGATATCCCGAGTGATGCACCAACCAAACCAAGCAGCGTGTTCAGGACAACACATTCAGCTAAAGAATATCATAGATAACAGATGCTCAACTGTGATTAAGTTGAATGCTGATGGGTGATACTCATTTCAAGATATCGGCTATTTCTCACGTATGTTGCATTCCTTAGCAACTGAGGTAGATGAGGGCTACTTGGTAGTATTTCCAGGTAATCCATGTTCAACTCAACTACCAACCCTAGACTTGGGGAGTAACTCAAATTCCATGCTTGATAAACAGACCAACAAGCGAATTATTCAGTTTTCAGCACACAGCTGTCATCGTGAATAAAATATTGGTGAAATGGAGGGGAGATATTAGATTTCAATCATTTCATATCATGGAAGTGGATGTTTGCTGGGAAGAGACTGAATGTGCGGAACACCATTGTCACAAGAATAATTGGTCATGCATGTTCATCCTTTTTAGGATGTCACACGGGATAACTTCTTGAAAGTACTAAAAGGCGATGAGGAACTTGAAGCCAAAAAGAAGAAGGTGCTGAAAAGGTGAGTTTGCGCGGAAGTGGATATTTTTGATGCACTTGCTGATCACAGCCAGATTTCTAGTGTGACAGCTCAGCGTTTTCGGTTAGTGAAAGACGTTTTTAGTATAATCGTAAGTCAGTCAATTCATAATCACTTTGTGTAAGCCTCCCAGAAGTCAGTCAAAAGGATTAGATTCACTCCAGGGGAAACCCGGTTTATCCACCTCTGACTTTTCGTTATTATCAAATCATCGACATTAATCGCCACTGTTAACCAGTTTCGGAAATATTCAGGTATGAACAGTTGAGAGTGGTCAAATATCTCCTCGGACTTGTACTAATTGGGTTTGGTCGATCTTGGTTTGCTCGGATTCTGCAGTTGTTTTAACTCACAGTGTTGTACAAGGTAAATAAACACTGTTGTTTGGATGATCGAAATCCAAGTGCGCTGGTGGCCCTATCGGTTTATGGCGGTCTCTCAACTCTGATTCGCGATTCTCCCATAATGCTCTCAGCATTAATAATAAGCATTAAGTATTAAGAATATCACCTATGTGAGTCGATAACGTCACAGTTGTTCTTTCGAAACTCCCACGCATTTCTGACCCACACATGACGAGAAGCATTGGCATGCAGAGACAAGGCAGTAAAACGAGGCAAATGGTTATATATTCGCAAACCATAAGTCTCCCATCCGGTCAATGATATACAGTTGGGATTTGCAATTGCGACGAAATGCGTAATCACCCGCTCTTTGCACGTCTTCTCTGATGAACCGTACATGGACCTGCGATGAGTGTTTCCGTACATATTTCCAGCTCCAGTGAACCGATCTATATGGTTCGCATTTTGACGGAATTCCTTTTGATTTAAAAGTATTTGTGAGCACTGATTGTTTGAACTTCTTCAAGAGCATCGTGTTAGTTTGTGGTCTGCTGTCATTCAGCTTTGCTTCCAGGAACTTTGTACCTTGTGGTCTGTTCGGTCGCCATTCCAGGACAGTGCTTTGGTAGATGTCCATATAGGCTTTTTTCTGAGGTTTTGCCAGTCCTCACAATAGCTTGGAGTGGGAAGTTCCCGGATTCACCCTTCCAGAGTACTCAGTTTGACAAACACTCATTTCTGAACTCACCCTCCAAGTGAAACTAATAGATCTGTGGCTCTTTATTTGCTGTCGCCTAGAGTATGAAGTTTCCGCTGACCGTCAGGGATAATGTATCCTGTTGAAGCAAGCTACTTTCCTGCGAAACTACATTTTCAGACAGAAAATTTCATTGGGAATATTCAAAAGAGATATTTCTTGTTACTTGACACACTGTGAGTCTAATCGTTTGTATTTTGAAATTAGGCTAACTTTGTACAAACCTTTATCTTAGGGGAGCTCGACGTTATCTTTTTCCGTCAATTTTTGCACTATTTGATTTGTTTTTCCAATCTAACCAGGTTCGTTCTAATAAGTAAACGAGCAGAAATCGGATAGAGCCTTTTCCAATCCTAAGTTGAACAAATTCAATTTTTCCGATCCCTCCTGTTGTTAGTTCGGATAGAGAAGGAAAGAATAGGTGATCAAATAGGATAACTTCATCTGCACGATAAACAAGTTTTATTAACTGGAAGAGCATTCCCGAAAACGAATACCGGAAAATCGGGCTACAGCAAAACAGTAATTCAGAAACAAAGATTCAAAATATACTACTGAAACCACAAAACAGAATGAGAGCCGGTCGAATGCTGAAAACCAGAATATAACACATTAGAAATCGGTAACCGGTCACTGAGACCATGAACAAAAGCTCTTCAGACAGAAATTACGTAAAGCAGCAATCGAATTCAAGGGACGCCAGCCACAATGCAGCACAGTTCGAAATTGACCATTTGGACACCGAGAAGCGTGTGCTCGCTTCAGGCAGTCACAGCCGTATAACATCAGACAGGTATGGAGTAACTTCCAACCCAAACACTCACTCATGATATTACTTCGGTTGAAGATGAAACATTCGCAAGCTGATCACTGCGAGCAGGGTAAAGATGAACACCATCCTGATCAACGTCCAGCAAAAGGAATATTTCCGGATCAGGTTTGGACAAAAACGTATGGTTTCTTGGATATCCGTGTTAAAAATGTAGGATCGCCTCTTCTTCGTTATAGTATTTTTCCTGAGTAGTATATATATTATGTAGATATTTCGTTAAACATGTATTCATGCTCGAAAGAGCTGAGTGTGACTGTCCCAACGGGAAGACGACAAGACTAGCTAAAGTGAAAAACTGCTTCCGACCATCTTCATGCATTGAAAATCATAGGAATTTAACCAACAGTCATCCGGAGAATCGGATTTTCATCTGCGTATTTACGCGGCTATGCAAATAGTAGAACACTCGAAGTTAATTTAGCTCCTGATTATATCCAGCAGCGTGTACAAAACAATATTCTGAAACACGTGTTCGCCATGCTTCCATTTCCGCGGGTTTTTGTTGTGCTTTCCTATGTATGGGGGCGCCAGCCAATAATCTCGTCCTCAAGACCACCTAACACTTTCTGCCCAATAACAGCGGTCCTAACGACAACGTGTTCATCTTCTACTCTGGCCATGGTGGGACTTCCCATATTGCCTTCCTAGAAGAATATGTAAGTATGTATGGGGGCGCTAGCCAATAATCTCGTCCTCAAGACCACCTAACACTTTCTGCCCAATAACAGCGGTCCCAACGACAACGTGTTCATCTTCTACTCTGGCCATGGTGGGACTTCCCATATTGCCTTCCTAGAAGAATATGTAAGTTCAGTTAAATTTGGTAACCAAGGTTTTAGCACGCAGCTTTTTAATCGGAGAATAAATATTGAATGGAGTGGAAAGGCTAACGTAAACCTGTTGGTGCAATGACATCGATGTCACTCTCAAGAGTGACATCCCCAAGAATTCAGGTTTGATAGGTCTCATTAGGTGCATTAATTGACAGTGTCACACAGATTTCGTTTTACGAAATCTAAGGTCACTCGACTCACCTGATTTCGCGATCGATCCATTCAGACTGCTGGGCAAACGTAGATACCATAAACAAAGAAGCTAGTCGTATACTGTCACTCATGAAGCGTGGATGATTCGGAGAACGCGTCAGCTGAATTCTTCCTGACAAGACAACATACTGCTTCTCGCTTCTAGAGCGACAGAACGAATCTTTAATAGTATAAAGTATTTATGTATGAGAGACCAGTCTGTGATGGGAAGCCGGGAAGCAATGTACAACTGTTCCATCCTTATTGAGAATCATCAGTGTTGCACTTGATAGATGCAACCTGAAACCGTTCGGCCAACAACGAGCAACCAACAGCCTGATTTATCCGCACTAAGACAGGACATAACGTCACCCATTTTTCAATCAAGGATCCACATCATTGGTGACTGACTCATCGGGTGACTCATCTCGAGCTCACAAGAATTTTTCTTCTTATCTTGCGACAGGTGTATGCCTTGGAGTTGAACGATACCCTCGCCTACATGCATTCAAAAAAAATGTTCAACAAATTGGTGCTGTACATGGATGCTTGCTACTCTGGCTCTATGTTTAAAGATGTTCTTCCTCCAAATATGGGGAGTAAGTAGCGTAAATTTCTGGCTGATTCTTGCATGGATCCTGTAAAACAGCATTCAGGATGTCAATCATATATATAGCTTAAAAGCAGCGTTGACCAGTAAAACAGAACGAATTTTCAAGCTTGGTTTATTCTTGTTCAGCTCGCGATCTTTGTATGGAAGTAGCCTCTGACTCTACGCAAGAAGCGTTTAGCCGACGATAGCACAAAATCTTGCCTGCATCGATCAAATTCACTTACGCTGCAAAATCAGTTTAATTTGGGTGGAGGAAATCAGGGTGCAACCCCTGTGATATTTTGGTGTCCCCTTGCAGCAACTGCCGTTGCCAAGTGGATAACTTCTTTGTAAAGCATAAATAGATCGTGGGTCTTTTGTAAAAAGTACACTTCAAACCACGAAGTGTTAGTATAAGGCTTGTGACGTGTCAAACTTTGACCGCTCTCATCGGTGGTATTTTTCCAGGAAGTTTCGCCGTAAACAACAGATTATGCATTCACACATTTATTTAATTTTGACGGGCTGACCCAACCAAACCCAGATAAATGTCTCGTTAATGCGAGTGTTTGGCAAATTCCGCCCAGTCTGGGTTCAAGTCTTGATTAAGTCTTGGAGAAAGTCAATGACTGCGTCTACCTGATTCGACGTAAGAAGCACGAAAACCGTTATGTTCTGTCAGTGAAATGTCAGCGACCTTCTGAGTAGTGTGTTAGTTCTAGAAGTCTTCCAGCTTCAGCACATCTGTGAGTCACATCATCCGTTCGTCGATAATTTACCTTACTATTTTACACATCCTTTTTGCTGACCAATGATATCTGTTGTCTGAACCCCTGAACCCGCAGTCTACGTGAAAACATCAGCCAACGGAGGCGAAAAATCCTGGGCTATTTTTTGTTTTGACAAGGAAATCGAAGTTTGTCTCGCGGATGAATACTCTTATGACTGGATTTTAGATTCCGAATACGTAAGTTTTGACAGAACTGTTGCAGATAGGACTGTCAGTTATGGACGGGTAATCCGGTGGTATTAAGCAGACAGTCCATTTGATTTTCTAAACCGTCCGGTGGCCCCGAAATAATCAATCCATTGGTTGTATGGCCGAAATGCCTCACTATCCCTCCAATCAGGTTTGCTTGTGGTCTTGCAGAGATATATGAAAGAGACTAGCAAAAATCTGGGTGCTATCAGTATAATTCGCACTCTACGATGGAGACCACCTGATTCTCACCGTGACTGTCCTTGAATCGATGTTATTGGAGTTCTTGTTATCATTTTCGGTTCCAGTCGCCTGAGTAATTGTCTGGAACTGTAGGCGCATCGGAATAATTGTGATAGGCCAACAGCAAGTCTCTGTTCAACATATTTTGATTCCTTTCGTCCGAGTAGGGTTTTGAGTGGATTTTAACTACACGCAAGGAAGCATCAATGTTGAATACAGATGTTGGAAGTGATGAGGTTGATGATGTTGACAACGATGACGGTAATTGTGATGATTTTGATGATGGTGGTGGATCTCCTGCACGCCTTCGTCAAAATATGTCTTTCGAAATGAATCAATATGTCAGTAGCATTCGTGCTGTCAGCTTCTATCCAGATTGTCTGACTAGGCCTCGTATGTGTAGGTATCTCGGGTGTATGGGGTAGGCTAGCTCTAGGTTTTCCTTCATGTTCCATCATCCTTTATTATTCCACTACGAATAATTATAATGCTTGTACGGCAGTGAATCATGAGTATTTTCCTCTGATTTTGCTCCCGAGAATGATGACGATGATGATGATAATGGCGATGGTGATCAGAACCATAGAGTATCAAACACTTAAGATACAATGTATGTGCATGTATGGCGTCCAGGAACAGCGGAATGCTCACAAATTTACCAGCAGTATGTGTCGTTGCATGCCTCGGTTGTCTTAACTCTAGTGATGGTTTCAATGTTTTGTCTACGGCGGATTCATCTAAAAATTGCGTAAGCTGATTTGTCTGCTACACGTCGCCCCGCTTTGTACCTCCCACCCGCGCGCAGAACGACCTAAAACGGCGTACACTGAAGGAACAATACGAGGAGGTGAAAAGGATTACAGTGTTTAGTCACGTAATGAAATACGGTGAAATGGTGAGTCACAAGATGCAACGGGTCACTTTTGAAAAGTCAAACAGTTATGAAAATGAATGTATTGATCGAGAAAACAGTTGCGTTTTGTTAACTGTGATAAGCGACGGTCAACGTTTGAAATACGTGATTAGGAACTTCAGGTTCCATAGACCAAGTTCAGCAAGGTTGCTAGTGCAGGCACCTAGATATCCAGGCCTAGCCAGTATCACCTTCCGGATAACCAAGCAATGGCCTTGGGTACCTTATGATTCACACGCCTCTGTGCTATGGTACAAAACAAAGCCGAATTGTTATGAATCGCTCACAAGTTACTCACAGGAAGAATAGATTTACACGATGACTGAAACCTCCATCTGAGAAGTTGACACTCGAGGAGCCGGTCTGTATATGGCCACGTAGTGTGGTTTTCCATGATAGAACGAAGAGTGCCTTGGACCTGAACGAGCAAACTTAGGTGATAATACTAGTGATTCGGTGGACATCAGCGCTATGTACTGATGTTTGTGAGACGCTTTCGGAACTGGTGTTCATTGACCAACCGGATTTTTCAACACTAACATGTGAGTACGGTCGGATGGTGAGAGGCTTCATCATTGTATGGAACAAGACGATATCTCGGTGGATAATGAACTCATAGGTGTCCGTTTATTGTTTATTTCAGGCGATGGAAAGTCTTCCAGTTGGAAAGTTCCAAGGTCATTATAATCTACTGATGCACCGGAAAGATGGTGCGATACCAGTACGTGTTAAGCGCAATATTCGATATTTTGAATTGTCTATTGGAACAGGTATTACCTACGCCACTGGATGTTTAAGGAACCAAGTGACCACTACGCATTCCAAAGAGAGTCTAAGCAGCTGTCACCTAAGTGGCCGAAAAACCTGACATCGCAGTTATAGACAGATAAAAATGAATAAATCTCTAGATCGATAGATTGATAGATATATAGATAGACAGACAGAAAAATAGATAGATAGCCAGATAGATAGACATGGATAGATAGACAGATAGATAGATAGATAGATAGATAGATAGAGAGATAGATAGATAGATAGATAGATAAACAGACACTCAGACAGACTGATAGATGTATAGATAGAGAGAATAGTGGACAATATACTTAAAGCCCGTTCCAGATATTCAGCGAAATCCATGAAACGTTTAGTGAGGTTCAACGTACTCAAACTGATTTACAGGAGACTGAATTACGTCAATAATTTGCGTTACCCTTGCAACCGAGTGATCTTATATGGTTTCTTCTTAATAGTGAGTAGTCTAGGAAGTCAATTCGTTCAATCAGCATTGACGGAGCTCCTGTTTATAATAAGTGTTGTTCAATTTTTTGTTGGTTCCAGCCGAATGCTGTAGATAGAAATCACTCCTGCCAGGCGCACTTGTTTTCAAAGTGTCGACGCTTGATGCTGGCCGCAACCCAGGAAGAACATGAAACCGCTTGGCGAAAGCTGCACCGTGCACTTCAGGTTTGCAGTTTCCTTTTCTTATCCAGTTGATCTCAGTAAAGTAACTGAATGCACGATAAAAGATCATTTAGGTGACTGTCCATTTGTGTAGTGGAGAATGGGTAATAAGGATGCATGGGAGCAGGTAAACGTCATCAGTCGAATGTTTTTATCGGTCGTTTCTTTAAGCCACGCAAAACCCAAATGTGATTCGTTTAGACGTGCAACATATCTTTTATAGTCTATATACAACCTCCCACAGTTATACTTCTCACTTCTTTCAGCTTGGCCACATCGCCAGGGAAACTTTCCGTGACATCGTCGTGGATGTGACAACCCACCACAAGCCAACGCTAAAGGGCTTTTCCAAGAGGGATGAGCTCATATGTTTCAAGTCAGTATTTGATCAATTCCGGATACACTGCTTCACACATCAGCAGGCAAGTTGCCTCCATGATGCAGGAAAACAAGAATGTGCAAAAATATGCATTTGGTAATAGCCAACGCCCTCATCTACGGCGTCACGAGACTCAGTCTCAAAATTACCCATATGTAAACATCCAGCAAATGAAATTACGGGGCAATTGTGGTTCTCGCATATCAACCTACTTCAGTTCGGTTCGGTTCAGTTCATATCAGATCAGCTCAGTTCAGTTCAGTTCAGTTCACTTCAGTTCAGTTTAATTTTTTCGTTTGTTTAGCTTATTTCAGTGCAGTTTGAGCCCATAACATAACATAACACAATCACCACCAAAACTTGTAGATTGACATTGGAAGCGACACAGGCCAGTCGTGAATATGGGTTTCATTTTCGTGAAGGGTCCCTGTGCTCAACACTGCTAAGGAATATACTGAAGCATGATCTGACCAGCAACTTTGGCTGGAATCGTTAGGTTTGTTAGTCCAAAACGCACAACTTTTCGAGGAATATTTACTGAAAAAATCGATGTCCAAGCAACAGAAAGCTGGAACATTTGGTGCGGTAAAACTGTAGAAAGACAAGCCCAAGTTGATGCCCATGACTTAAGCATTTAAAAACAGTCTCGATCGGTTTCTCTTCTTCGACATTCACGACGGCTGTTGCAACCAAAATCCTATCTCATCATGGACGATCGTTACCATTTCAAATACCTCACTACTGGCACAGCAAGAATAGCTACATAAACTGGAGAAAATATATGGTTGACGAGAAGTTTTACACAGCTAATGACCAGTTCCGCTCATCGTGTAAGTTAGAAGGAATCTTGAGTGAACACACGTTACTGTTCGTTTGAAAGAATCCTCAGTCATTAGTACAAACCTATGCACAAAGTGTGTGATCCAGATACTTTCATTTACGTGGTGAATCATTCCCTTCTCTGATTAGACTGACACCCTAGGTAAGAACCTGTTATCTATCTGTCTTCAGGTACCCGAGGTAGCCCAGCATACAACTCATTTGATGGAGCTGTGCAAAGCCGGATACGAAGCTGAAACCCTGATAGACTCTGTCCACAACGTCTGTTCCTAAGAGACACGTCGCATGTTGCCTGATTTTGCCAAAATACAATGAAACAAAACTAGCCCGTATCGTGTTTTCCCATCGCAGCTAAGCGAGGTTTGCGTTTTCCAACAAGCTAGCCGTCCAAAGATTGTTTTAGAGCCATGATAGAGACGCGTCTTCAAACTCAGCCACATCGAATTTGAATATGTTTTCATACAGGTATTTGAAACGTCATCGTATATTAGGATGAGGTCGTCGGGAAGGCATAGTATGTCTATCTATCAGACTGGTAATGACTTTCCTCGAATTGTATGTTTTGTGGAGTTGCTCTCTTACCACATTTCAACCTGATGTTGTTGTATCGGATTCATCAACTAGTCGATGCTCTTGCACGAGCGACGGGAATGGATGGACTACAAGCCAGATATATCTAGTCCAGAATCATTCTCCACGTAGTCCAAAGAAGAAACGTTGGATACACCGGACGCGCAGTAACGCAGATAAATCAACACAATGGGCAGACCGATTACCAGCGGAGGAGGAATACCTGCTTAGGAACCGACCAATGAAACGCCAGGCGACAAAACAGGCCAGTTGGTCACTCTGTTGATACACAACAAAATCTGTGCAAATATTCTCGAAATGACCTGCTACCTATAAGATTGCTCAAAAACCTACAGCAACTCATCGCAGTCTCATATTTCTAGGATTCATTTGATAGCCGTAGAATAAAATGTTCAATTAAAGCCAGGTTGATAGGAAATCGCAGACGAATAAATCAAAGCCGGATCACCGCCACCAAGTAAATCGATGTGACAGTTGATTTACACGTACCACGGATATCTATCTTGGGATTACGTACAAAATCATTCCGTACTGGACAGTCATTCTGCGGTTGACCAAAGACTGCGACATAAGTTTATATGTGAAATATGGTCATCACTACAAAAGCAGTCCTACACTGCAATGAATTGGTTACTGTTTGGAGCCAGGTAACACACTCTCTATTAGAAGCCAGCCACCACATAACACCTGCACGAAATGCGTCGTCATTCGCTATTTGGTAAATTTTTCCACTGACTGCAAGGAATTGGCGATAAGCAAGCCATGAAGCATGGATTCCCCGTCGTGTTAACTTTTATGTTGTGACTTTATGAGAGCAGCAGTCATGACATTATCTTCTGTCGTGAGAACTGTATTTCATTCGAGCAATCCACTGGTACCCTATGCCATAAAAACGTCAGAGGCTAGTTAGAGCCAAAACCTCAACTCAGACGGCAATTTGATAACTTCGGTTACACGCAGAGTTTGCGATCGATTAAAGCAGGTTTTCGACACCAACTGGTGGAAATCTTCAGCTACACCTCGTCTTTGAATAAATGTCAGATTGAAATAAATGGAATGATACTATTATTGCTTTTCCAACCCCTGTGCCCAGTGCCGGAAATGTTACACAAATGACTTTCCCAAACAAACGCGTGCGTGCTAGTGTAAAAGTTACAACGGCTCCGCGCTTTTCAAGGGCACTTTCTGGCATTATTACAGACAGCCGATGGGCGCTTAGTGAATAGGCATCAACATCGATCGTGCTTCTGAGAGATGCATGAACGCTAATCACATTTGGTCGTGCTTGTTGGCGTGCGTGAACGCTAGTCGGCCTTTGCCAAACCGATTGAACGTTTGACTTGCCTGGATGATTGCCGGCATTACTATCCAAATTTTGGTGGATATTTAGGGTCTCAGTAGTTTCCGACCATCCTAGTGTTACCATCAGGATTCAGACCTTTCTGATACATAAAATACTCTCATTCGTACGTCTTGTCGGGAAGACAACAGAACCCAAACCTCTTTGGTATATACTGGTCAATTTCAAATGGATTGTAAACTAAACTGAGTTTCAGAATTCTCTTCAATGATGAGTTGGTTCATTTTTCTTGGTGCGCATATTGCTCGTGACATTATGTGTATCCCAAGGATAAATAACCTAAACTTTGCCGCCCCGAGGATAAACAGAACACCGTATGCAAGAGTATAATATTCGACCCAATCGAAATTCCCAGGACAAACTAAATTGAATTGGCATTTTGTTTCCCCAGGCTGCAGGTTAACTGACGTAAATGATGTATTTTGCTTCCCACAATAGGAGACATAAGATTGAGCAAGTCGCAGGAAACATAACATATCATGTTTTGCCCTTAATGATCGTGCTAAGAAAACGACAGAATCGGATCACCCACCTCGGTCCAGCCCACGCCCTCCCGAGTTTTTGATTTACAACGAAAATCATGATGCAACCAGCAGATTATCCCTATAGGAGTGAGGGCATTTTCTGTAGAGGGCTCAAGATAGCTCAGTGGTTGAGGCGCGAAATTTTAAGACTTCATATGCCGAACCATTCCGAATAATCGTCTGCGTTTCGCGCAGCTGAATTACCATTTAATGGTTCCGTTTTGGCAGGCATGATGAACTGTTCGAATCCCGACGCCAAAGTGTGAGAATAATGTTCCGCGCATATATCGATATAGCCAGACGAACCAGAAATTCAGAATTCAGCACAGCGTAATAAATAACACATATGTTTTCGAATTGACGTATGTGTACAGCATCTGGAATATTAAAACAAGGGAATAATGAGTAGAGCAATGAATGGATATCAATCATGTTCATCACAGGGTGAGAGTTCGCAGCTGGCTCTACAGCGCCTTTGTATAAACCTGGGTTAGACTATTTCATCAGAGTACTCTAGTCAGCGGAGTTCTCTATTCCCCTTACCATCCACTGTCTAGAACGAATGACGTAGGGGGCAATTTAGATGTTGATATGAATAACGGTACTTTCAGGTTCGGTCGAAACTTTGTCAAGTTGCATCTCCAAGTGAGTCAGTTTGACAGTTGTTTTTTTCTTCTTTAATTTACTCTTCCCGCTCTCGTTCTTCGTGCTGAATGTCATGATGGGTTTAGGGCCAGGTAGCCCAAGCCTGGACAGGACTAATCGAGATACAGAGGCTGGATTAGAAACACGGTCGAGATTTCTATCCCCAACCTCCCAGTCAACCTGAGCTTCCAGGCCAAATTGATGGGTTAATTGTGTCTGCCGGTTGAAGCTTTACACGTGACCTGAGAACGTACGGTTTCGAGCGATTATGAAGCTGTCCCGTACCTGGCGGTTTCGGTTTTCGAGAGACTCAACTGGCAGCCAGCTGGATCTCTCGTTTGTGAGTTCCTCATTGCTATCGACGGATTTTCAGCAACCTTACGTTTAGTACATCACAAATACTGCCCGGCACTTGTTTTTCATCATCAATTCATTATCCCAGTCATCTTGCAATTATCCCAGCGCTAACGGAAAGCCGTCCTACTTTTGATGCACCGCTAACGAACTAGCCCCCTAGAGAAAGAATCGATGATGTCTATAGTGTATAACAACAGGGAAGACCCATTTCGAGCGTTTTGCAGCAGCAAATGTCCAGTTGGGTGTGGAACGCATGTTGCAACTGGCACAGGAATCGGCTGAGGCAACAATGACAACGTTGCAGTCGCAGGAGAACCGGGATTATTCAACATCGGAGGATTTAATGAACAAATTGGAATAATTCGACAAACAGCTTGCAGCCACAGAGACGGCGTTACAGGGGCATGCACTAACCGGTCGCTGCTACAAATGTTGCACGCCTCGCCACTGAAAGAATCAATGTCTTCTTACTCGACCACTTATACATAATAGAACACCGGATTGTTGCTCTATTCCCGGATAATTTGCGATAAGCGCAGTGACACAGAACACCATACATATATCGAGATAGACAGGAAGGGGAGGCTGTGACTGACTTATACAGGTGCAGACGAATCGCTTAGATGGGAAGGGAGCGAAGCTGAATGCAAACAGTGTGCGCTAGCCGTGAGAGCAGCTGGGGATTCCGACTGAACTTCGACGGATTGTCAAAGCACTGAATGCGCCAAGGCGACGGGTCGGTGCGGCTCGATCCCCTGATCAGCCCAGATATAAGATAGACAAACTTAGGAGCGTATTCTGTCAAGAGCGCAGAATCCGTCGTTGCTCGAAGATGGGAAAAATTATTGGAATCGATCATCTTGGCCTCGGATAATGTGATTCGTGATTCAGACAAAACTAACGACATATGTTTAAATTATTATAGGATATTCTCAACAGTGAGCGCAGTATTCTCCCGGCAGTCCGCCTTGGCAGGTTGTCGAGAGCATACGAAACGCAAGCCCAAAACCGTAAAATATCGGGAATGCTAGAGGTAATCGAAAATGTCAGCCAAAAAAGGAACAGCTACAACCAGATGTACGGTCCGTTTATTCAGCCAAGACCTGCTTAGAGATCGGTGATACCCATGGGGCGTAAAGTGGGCCACGGGTGACTTTTTCATTACCAGAGAATCTGGCAAAGTTCAAGATCTGTGTACTTCCCAATTACAACCCGGCTCTACGGCAGCTTCCTGGATGAGCGGTATACTGCTGTCGGTTTGTCAAGGATTTCCATTCGATTTCTCCACTGTACGACTTGCTCGGACAAAACCGGAAATCCTGGTGGATTAGGGAATCACATGAGGCTTTCGAACGTGTCAAAGCGCGAACATTGGATCAGCAACTGACAGGGTCGAACAGATGTTCACTGTTGCAACGAACGCTAGTGATCGCGGTATTGGGGCAGCCCTAAAGCAGAAGAATAGAGTTACTGAATAAGCAGGTCGTTTCCCGACTAACCCGGAGCAGAAGTATTCGACGACTGAGAAAGTATGTTAAGCAATTGTCCGGGCCATGGATAAGTTAGTGTCATATCTGCTTGGACGAATATCTCATGTCGAAACCAATCACAAGCCGGTAGAGCAGACCAGAACCACCAGAGATCCACGTGGAAAGCTCGAGCGCTGGGACTCCGGTTGCAGGATTATGATTTCACTCTCCGACACATGCCACCCGGCGGATTGCCTGTCAAGAGCAGAGGCTGCAAACTAGGCCCACATGCTCATCATTGGTGCAAGTAATATCGTCGTTGAAGTGGATCCCGGAAGGTAATTGCAACTGAAACGGTGGGGTCCTGTGTTACAGAAGGTT